CGCCCGACCTTATGGAAGAGGTACGTTGATGACACCTTTGTCATCTGGCCACATGGCCAGCCTGCTCTAGACCAATTCCGCGACCACATCAATTCCATACACCCAGCCATCAGATTTACCATGGAGGTCGAAAAAAAAAAAAGATGGCAAACTACCCTTTCTGGATGTCTTAATTAAAAGGAGACATGATGGTTCAATGAGCCACTCTGTCTACAGGAAAGCTACCCATACAGATGCTTACTTGAAACCGGATTCCCACCACCATCCATCACAGAAGAACTGCCTCATCAAGACTCTATACCATAGAGCCCAATGCATTTCCGACCAGGAACACATTACCAGTGAACTCAAGCACGTACACCAGGCTCTCAGAGCTAATGGCTACTCCGACTACACAATCCGCAAAGCCATCACTCCAGTCATGAAGAAGGATCCTCTTGTGGAGCCACTCAAAACCATCACCTTACCCTACATTGCAGGGGTCACTAAAAAGATCTCCAAAATCCTGAATAAACACAAGATCCAGGTCCGATTCAACACAGTACACAAAATCCGTGATTTAGTTCCATCTGTAAAAGATGCTCTTCCAGACATACAGTACCCGGGCGTTTACAAACTAAAGTGCCTCTGTGGTAGTAGCTACATTGGAGAAACCAAAAGACATATCTCGGACCGCATCCGCGAACATAAAGCAGACTTGAAACACGGTAAGACGAACTCCTCTGCCGTGGCAGATCACTGTTACAATTCAGTGGGCTCACATGACATTGACTTCTCCAAGACGGAGGTTCTTTGCAAACCAACTGGCTACCATGAGAGATTCGTTCATGAGGCCATTCACATATACAAGCACAGAGACAATTTCAACCGAGAAGATGGATTCAGGCTTAGTAACCACTGGAAAGATGTGTTAAATCATTTCTGTTCTTAATTAATTGTAATTTTACGATGACCTTCAGACCGCAGCTCTTTCGCCAGCATTGCCTCTTAATACCTCTCACACCACGGTTAATGGTATGGTTTACAACATGGAGTATACTAGGGCTTCGCAGCTGTCTCTCTCCCCCTCCTCTGTTCCGACCATGGACGAACTCGTCCGTCTGAACGGGGCCCGTGGCTATCCGTGGTACGGAAATTTGAGGGTAAGAATCCACCCATTTTTTCGCCATATAGCATTGTGATATATAACGACTTATGGTTGGTAGCTTAGCTGATTGGAGAATATAGAGTTTATTGATAACATGAAGGTAATTTATATTTTAGTTTTTATTGGTTCACTATATAGTACTGTGAATAGCTCAGATGTGTAGTCATTTCTGTGACCAGTCACTAGCAAATCACCCAGTTATTTCAATGCTAAATTCGCCTAGTTATTTCAATGCTAAATTCTCCTGTTTGATTTGTACTAAGTGCCTCGGTGAATGTGTATGCTCTGACTTCAACGTAACTATTTCTGTAGCAGTTACAAGCAAATCACTCAGCCATTTCAATGCTAAATTCTATGCTAATCCCATTATCAAGGGGTGCCTCTGCGGATGTGTATGCCTTAATTTAGCTATTTCAATGCTAAATTCTATGCTAATTCCTTTTAACAATGGGTGCCTCTGCGGATGTGTATGCTTTAACTTTTAACATAGCTATTTCTGTGACCAGTCACAAGCTAATCATTCAGCCATTTCAATGCTAAATTTTATGCTAATTCCTTCGTCAAGGCTCTTTGTTCCTCTCACACAGCTTAAAAAGCCGTGATCTGAACGTGGCTCTCTCACTCCAGCGCTGTCCTACCAGACAGTCTCGCTCCCTTCACCTGATGAAGGCCGCTTGTGTTGTGGCCGAAACGTCGTGAGAATATTATTGTGTTATTTTATTTTATCAATTTATTATTTTATTCTCATTCTACGTGACTTTACCGAAAGAACCAAAGAAGACTGCCCATAGACTCAACACTACCCATAGACTCAACACTGCCCATAGACTCAACACTGACCATCGACTCAACACTGCCCATAGACTCAGCACTGCCCATCGACTGAACGCTGCCCATAGACTCAGCACTGCCCATCGACTCAACACTGCCCATAGACTCAACACTGCCCGAAGACTCAAAACTGCCCGTAGACTCAACACTGCCCGTAGACTCAAAACTGCCCGTAGACTCAACACTGCCCATAGACTCAGCACTGCCCATCGACTTAACGCTGCCCATAGACTCAGCACTGCCCATCGACTCAACACTGCCCATAGACTCTAAACTACCCATAGACTCAACACTGCCCATAGACTCAGCACTGCCCATCGACTTAACGCTGCCCATAGACTCAGCACTGCCCATCGACTCAACACTGCCCATAGACTCAACACTGCCCGTAGACTCAACACTGCCCATAGACTCAACACTACCCATACTCAACACTGCCCATAGACTCAACATTGTCCGTAGACTCAACACTGCCCGTGGACTCAACACTGCCCGTAGACTCAACACTGCCCATAGACTAAACACTGCCCATAGACTCAACATTGTCCGTAGACTCAACACTGCCCATAGACTCAACACTGCCCATAGACTCAACACTGCCCATAGACTCAACACTGCCCATAGACTCAACACTGCACCATAGACTCAACACTACCCATAGACTCAACACTGCCCGTAGACTCAACACTGCCCGTAGACCAGGGGTCACCAAACTACGGCCCGCGGGCCGCATCCGGCCCGCGACGTCAGTCCATCAGGCCCGCCGACGGTACTTGAATTTGTTTGATAAAACGTATGTAACACGAGACGTTGTGATACAATTTAAATTTAAAAATTATGTTTAGAATACCAGGAGATCTTCACGCGTGCGGAGACCTCCTGACTGCTATGTTCCTTAAATTAACTATTTTAAATTTTAAATTATTGTATCTAGATTTTCTTGTTTATTCTGTTTACTTATTTCGCGCCATCCCAAGTACTTCCCCGGCTCGTGGTAGCTCCGCCTACGCTCTGAGGTTACCATGGTTTCCATGGCAACGTCATGGCAACACGTTGCTATGGTTTCCATGACAACACACACAAACACGCATCTTTCCCGCCTCCAGATTTTCCAGCTGTCAACACAGGTCCGACGCTCCAGGAATATTTATTTATTATTCGGCCCGCGCTCGTCGTTCTTTCAGTTATCCGGCCCACTGCGAAAAAAGTTTGGTGACCCCTGCCGTAGACTCAACACTGCCCGAAGACTCAACACTGCCCGAAGACTCAACACTGCCCATAGACTCAACACTGCCCATAGATTCAGCGTTGCCCATAGACTCAACACTGCCCATAGACTCAACACTGCACATAGACTCAACACTGCCCATAGACTCAACACTGCCCGTAGACTCAACACTGCCCGTAGACTCAACACTGCCCATAGACTCAACACTGCACATAGACTCAACACTGCACATAGACTCAACACTGCACAAAGACTCAACACTGCACCATAGACTCAACACTGCAACATAGAATCAACACTGCACATAGACTCAACACTTCCCGTAGACACAACACTGCACCATAGACTCAACACTGCACATAGACTCGACACTGCACCATAGACTCAACACTGCACAGAGACTCAACACTGCCCGTAGACTCAACACTGCACATAGACTCAACACTGTACATAGACTCAACACTGCACCATAGACTCAACACTGCACCATAGACTCAACACTGCCCATAGACTCAACACTACCCATAGACTCAACACTGCACCATAGACCCAACACTGCACATAGACTCAACACTGCACAAAGACTCAACACTGCCCATAGACTCAACACTGCACCATAGAATCAACACTGCACCATAGACTCAACACTGCACCATAGACTCAACACTACCCATAGACTCAACACTGCACCATAGAATCAACACTGCACATAGACTCAACACTGCCCGTAGACTCAACACTGCACCATAGACTCAACACTGCACATAGACTCAACACTGCACATAGACTCAACACTGCCCGTCGACTCAACACTGCACCATAGACTCAACACTGCACCATAGACTCAACACTACCCATAGACTCAACACTGCACCATGGACTCAACACTACCCATAGACTCAACACTGCACCATAGACTCAACACTGCACATAGACTCAACACTGCACCATAGACTCAACACTGCCCATAGACTCAACACTGCCCATAGACTCAACACTACCCATAGACTCAACACTGTACCATAGACTCAACACTGCACATAGACCCAACACTACCCATAGACTCAACACTGTACCATAGACTCAACACTGCACCATAGACTCAACACTGCCCGTAGACTCAACACTATCCATAGACTCAACACTGCCCATAGACTCAACACTACCCATAGACTCAACACTACCCATAGACTCAACACTGCACCATAGACTCAACACTGCCCGTAGACTCAACACTATCCATAGACTCAACACTGCCCATAGACTCAACACTACCCATAGACCCACCTCTTCTCCACTGCCCATAGACCCACCGCTTCTCCATTGTCCATTCCTTCCCTCTTCCTTCCCATCGACCCCTCCACTCCGCATCCCGTCCCTCCCCTATAGCCCTTTCCGTGACCTCCACGTGCCCTCTGTTACGGTCACTCATTTCCTCGGCCCTTGCACTGCCCGTGCCATCTAAACCACTCATTTTAAAGCTACCTTTCAACATGAGATAACACGAAGCGAAAAGAACTTAAACAAAACACTTGTTTTTACATTAACCAATTAAACACATTTTTATTTTTACCAGGTAAGATCCACTGATCTAATGTAAGTCTTCTTCAGAAGCGACATTGACACAAATGATTGCTCGACGAAGTAGGATTACCATCGTCGAGTGAAAATGTACAGCAGCCGAATACTCTAAACGCGCAATGTCGATTCTGAACGTGGAGGGGAAAAAAACACCGCAGGACACGGAGAAAAATCCACGCGACCACAGACAGAGAGAGAGACACGCAAACTCCAAATATACCGCAGCAGGCGTCAGGGTCGGGATCGAACCCACGACCTCCTGTACACCGGGCGAGGTGGTTAACATCCCGCCCCATGAGTTGTGAATTGTCGTGCGGTGGGGTGCGAGATCTTGGAATTTGTCCCTGGTCAGCGCTGCGAGGACACGGCGCGGATTCAAAGCGCTTGATCGGCTGCCACCGCACGCCCGCTCACGGCGAGCTCCAGCGTGCCGGTGACGATGTAGAGCTCCTTGCACTGCAGGCTGGCCATCAGCGTCCGCTCGCCAGCCTTGGTGGGCGTGAAGCTCTGGCTGAGAGAGACGCTCTCACCCGCGTTGATGTTTCTGTGGGAATTCACACGCGCACGCGCGCGGCCCGTTAGGATACGCGCGCCTCCTTCGCGAAAGCGAGACAGTGATGAGATGGAAGAGACAGAGATGGGGGCCGTGGGCGGGGGGGGGCAGAGATGGACACCGGGCAGAGATGCGGCGAGACGACAGAAGAGCTTTAGGTCGATGTGTGCGTGAGAGTTTACGTATGTGTGTGTGTGTGAGTCGCTGTATGTGTTTAAGTCGATTTGTGTGTATAACTCCAGGTGTGTATCTGGATTGTGTGAGGAGCTCAGAAATCCTTGAAAGATCTGGGCAAGGTCCCATCGGTGAGCTCCTCCGACAGGCAAGGCTGCGTTGGCTGGTTCACATGCCCAGCCACCGCATGCCTAAACAGCTTTTGTTCAGCCGGATCGAGGGGGCTAAACGGGCGCGGCACGGGCTAGAGAAGAGATGGAGTGATGTGGTACAGGAGGACGTGGAGCTGAGTGGACTTGCTGATGACTGGTACCAGCAGTGTCAAGATCGGCCTCTGTGGAGGAGGCTCGTGAAGGACGCTACTGGGCAATTGGAGGCAGTCGCCCTCCAACAACAACGGAGGGCGGAGGAGCGATGCTCACAACAACGAGCGGAGCGCCGGGTGGCTAAAGCACAGCAAGTTGGTACAGTAGGGGGCACAGGTGATGCATCAGCCAGTCATCTCAGTCATCTCAGTCAGTCGACCCGTGGCACTTGGGTCTGCCCCGTGACCTCCTGCCAGCGGGCGTTCGACACTTCACGTGGCCTCAAGGTGCACAAGCGTCGTTGTGACGTCACCGCCACTTAGTGGCGAATGGCGGTTGTTGTTGCATCTAAAGTGAATGTCTGTGTGTGTGAGTCCATATGTGTGTGTTTATAAGTCGATGTGTTTGTGTGTATGGGTCGATGTCTGTGTGTGTGTCTAAGTCCATGTGTGTGTGTGTGTCTTTTTCGCCCGGTCAACGCCGGGTACTTCCTGCTAGTGTGTTATAAAGGGGCCATGAATAAAAACACTTTAATATTAAAACACAAATGTTTTACTTGTGTAGAGATGTAAACAGATTCTCTATGCCGTTGTCCGCCATCTAGGTTCACGAGCAGGCAACTGCAAATGTCTCGTACCCTCTATCTGCCACCGGCGGAGGCATGGCAGGGAAGCGAGGGCCTTCGAGGGCCCTCGAGGGCATGGTCCCGTCGAAGGGCGAGAGAGAGAGAGAGAGGGCACGTGAACGGCACGGGGTAGCAAGGGGGGCCCCGAAAAGGGGGGGGGGGGGGCTTGAGGGACACGTGACGCTGGTCCCGGTTCGAGAAGATCGTGGCCCGGAGGCGGAGCGAGGCCACAGGATAAGAGGGATTGGGATCGGAGCGGTCGCGGCTGTCTCGAAGAGCGACCTCGCCAGGGCTTCGCTAGTCGGTCTTAGATTGTGCTTTCAGGCGCCGTGGGTCAGGAAGAAGCTTACCGTCCTGACCTGGTTACGAAGTGGCCCGGTTGGGGTCTAGTTAACCCGTTGTGACGTTAAAGTGGTAAGTCCTTGTTGGGGCCGTATAATAATAAACGTGGTGCCTCCACATTAAAGTGTGTGTCTCCGTAAAAGCCACGATACTTGCACAGTGAAGTAATTGTATTTTTTTTTCATTTGCTATACGGCCAGATAATACGACAAATGGCTAACCTTAAACACCCGGTCGTTCGTAAAAGTTGAAGGGCGGTACAGTACTATAGTGATAGAGCAAGTGCGGAATCGCTGAACCGGAATTGAGAGCTTGAGAGCGTTTAGCGCGGGGCCCTTGAAAGTAAGGGGCCCGTAGCTACTACTACGACTACTACATGTGTAGCTACTACTACTACATGTGTAGCTACTACTACTACATGTGTAGCTACTACTACATGTGTAGCTACTACTACTACATGTGTAGCAGCTACTACTACTACTACATGTGTAGCAGCTACTACTACTACATGTGTAGTATCTACTTCTACCTGTGTAGCTACTACTACTACATGTGTAGCTACTACTACTACATGTGTAGCTACTACTACTACATGTGTAGCTACTACTACATGTGTAGCTACTACTACTACATGTGTAGCTACTACTACTACATGTGTAGCTACTACTACTACATGTGTAGCCACTTTTGTGGCCACTTTTGCTGCGAGGATCATCCGTCACTGGATGGTAGGGAGACGAGTGGGGGGGATGGGGGGTGGGGGGGTGATATGGGGGTGGGGGGTATGGGGGTGGGGGGTATGGGGGTGGGGGAGTGGTATGGGGGTGGGGGGGTTGGGGGATTTTGGGGGGCGGGGAGGGGGGTTGTCACGTACCGGAAGGTTCTGATTGTGGGTATGAGGAGGCTAGGGCCTTCCATGTTGAAGGAGACGTCGGTGAGGCACACGGGCAGTGGGTTCTTGAACGTCAGCTCGGCATGCATCTCCGTGTCCACTCGGGCCTCCCCTTTCGCCTGCAGTGGAGCGACAACAACAGCCACCACGACGGGGTCGGCGACCACGAAACACCACCGTTATCATCGTCGTCATCGTCATCATCGTCTTCATCATCTTCATCATCGTCGTCATCATCGTCGTCATCATCATCGTTATCATCATCATCGTCGTCATCATCATCATCATCATCGTCATCATCATCTTCATCGTCGTCATCTTCATCGTCGTCATCTTCATCGTCGTCATCTTCATCGTCGTCATCATCATCGCTATCATCATCATCGTCATCATCATCATCGTCATCATCATCATCGTTATCATCATCATCGTCGTCAGCATCGTCATCATCATCGTCATCATCATCATCGTCATCATCATCATCATCGTCATCATCATCATCGTCGTCAGCATCGTCATCATCATCGTCATCATCATCGTTATCATCATCATCGTCAGCATCGTCTTCATCATCATCATCGTTATCATCATCATCGTTATCATCATCATCGTTATCATCATCGTCGTCAGCATCGTCTTCATCATCATCATGGCCACGTGTCGCCATCTGTGGTCTTCTCCACTCCCCTCTCCCGCTCTGTCTGGCGGTGCCACCGCGGCTCGAGCGGCGCCGCCTCCCGTTGTGGTCCTCGCCGTCGTTCTCGCTCGCGTCTTCCCATCGTCGCGGTTACATTCGCTGTAAATAATTCTTCCTTCCTTCGCAACGGCAGCAACAGACTTCGAATCGCCCTCTTGTTGCCCACCCTACGCACGGTCTCCACGTAGACCAGGTCTCCTCTTCCCCGTCACTCGCCTGCCTGCATCGTCAAGTTCTCACGGTGCAACTTGTATCCGACTAACACGTTGGTCACCTCTTTGGGTCCGACTTTAGAACCCCAAGGAGTTGGGGGCAAAACGCCGCTCGTCGTCGTTGTTGTTGTTGTTGGTGGTGTGCGGCATGCCCAAGCAGCTTGTGTGTGAGTGTGTGACCGAGTGAGTGTGTGAGTGTCTGGCCGAGGGAGCGAGCGTGTGAGTGTGTGGCTGAGTGTGTGAGTGACCGAGTGTGTGTGTGAGTGAGTGTGTGTGTGAGGTGTGTGAGAGCAGAGGTCTCACTCCGAATCAGTCGAGCGGCAATATCTTTTCATCGGTTGCGTAACGCTGTGTGGAAGCTACCTGGTCTGTCGCTCCGCACTAAGCTTCAGGTCTTCTCGGCCACGGTCATTCCCTCCCTTCTCTACGCTTGCGAAACGTGGACCCCCTAATGGAACATCTTCGCCGGTTAGAAACATTTAGGCTGGCCTGCCTACGATCCATCCTGGGTTTAACCAGACTGGATTGTGTGAGGAGCTCACAAATCCTTGAAAGATCTGGGCAGGGTCCCATCGGTGAGCTCCTCCGGCAGGCAAGGCTGCGATGGCTGGGTCATGTAGCCCGCATGCCCAGCCACCGCATGCCGAAACAGCTTTTGTTTGGCCGGATTGAGGGGGCTAAGCGGGCGCGGCACGGGCTAGAGAAGAGATGGAGTGATGTGGTACAGGAGGACGTGGAGCTGAGTGGACTTGCCGATGACTGGTACCAGCGGTGTCAAGATCGGCCTCTGTGGAGGAGGCTCGTGAAGGATGCTACTGGGCAGTTGGAGGCAGTCGCCCTCTAACAACAACGGAGGGCGGAGGAGCGACGCTCAGAACAACGAGCGGAGCGCCGGGTGGCTAAAGCACAGCAGGTTGGCACAGTAGGGGGCACAGGTGGTGCATCAGCCAGTCATCTCAGTCAGTCGACCCGTGGCACCTGGGTCTGCCCCGTGACCTCCTGCCAGCGGGCGTTCGACACTTCACGTGGCCTCAGGGTGCACATAGCCTGGCACAAGCGTCGTGGTGACGTCACCGCCACTTAGTGGCGAATGGCGGTTGTTGTTGTTGTTGTGAGTGAGTGTGTGAGTTACCGAGTGTGTGAGTGAGTGTGTGTGACCGAGTGAGTGTGTGTGAGTGTGTGTGTGAGTGAGTGTGTGAGTGTGTGTGTGTGAGAGTGTGTGTGTGAGTGTGTGTGTGAGTGACCGAGTGAGTATGAGTGAGTGTGTGTGAGTGTGTGTGTGACTGAGTGTGTGTGAGTGTGTGTGTGAGTGAGAGTGAGTGTATGTGTGAGTGTGTGTGAGTGTGTGTGAGTGACCGAGTGTGTGTGTGAGTGTGTGTGAGTGACTGAGTGAGTGAGAGTGAGTGTGTGTGAGTGACTGAGTGAGTGAGTGTGTGTGTGAGTGAGTGTGTGTGTGAGTGTGTGAGTGACTGAGTAAGTGTGTGTGAGTGTGTGAGTGAGAGTGTATGTGAGTGAGTGAGTGTGAGTGTGTGTGAGTGATTGAGTGAGTGTATGTGTGAGTGTGAGTGAGTGTGTGAGTGTGTGAGTGACTGAGTGTATGTGTGAGTGTGTGTGAGTGTGAGTGACTGAGTGTATGTGTGAGTGTGTGTGTGAGTGTGTGTGTGAGTGACCGAGTGAGTATGAGTGAGTGAGTGTGTGTGAGTGTGTGTGAGTGACTGAGTGTATGTGTGTGAGAGAGTGAGTGAGTGTGTGAGTGTGTGTGAGTGTGTGTGAGTGTGTGTACTCGGGGCAGCAGACTGCCAAACAACAGGGTGTGGGTCTTCTTTTGAACAAAAGAATGAAGGGGGCGTGGGAGCGTGGCGGTGAGGTGTGGGAAGCTGTAAGCCCCAGGCTACTTTGGGCTCGCCTTCCCATCAACCGGAGGCGAGGAATGGTGGTCGTGGTTACTTATGCCCCCACCGAAGATGAACATCCGTGGAGGGATGCAGGCAAAGCCGATGAGTCAGATGCCTTCTATGACCTCCTGTCACAGGTGCTGGCTAAAGTGTCCCCTCGGGATAGAGTCATCATGTTGGGTGACTTCAATGCCCGAGTTGGTCATGATACTGGCACCTGGTCTGGAGTGATTGGAGGGCATGGGCCAGATCAGCTCAATAACAATGGTAGGAGGCTGCTAGATTTTTGTGCAGCCCATGGGCTTGTAATTACCAACACGCTGTTCCGGCATCGGCGCATCCACACAACATCATGGATGCATGCCGGGTCCAAGCAAGAACATCTGCTGGACTACATAGTGACGGACCAGCGAATGCGAGCCCATGTCCTTGACACCAGGACCTACCGTGGAGCTGATCTGCCCTCTGACCATCGACTAGTCATCTGTAAGATGCGCCTGCCATTCTTCCACTCCGGTGGTGGGTGTACACCCAGGACCCCATTCCAACCTAAAGTGGCCTGGTCTCAGTTATCTGATGAAAGTTGCAAGCGAGAATTTCATCATCGCTTGCGGCTGGGATTGGCATCGTCCCCGACTCCTCCTGATGTCGAGGGTAAATGGGCGAGGTTTAGGACTGTGACTCATGCAGCTGCAATGGCTGCTTTGGGTACGCGGTCCAGACCTCCCCAGACACCCTGGATGACAGAGGAGTTGTTCAGGATGGTTGAGAAAAAGCGACAGGCCCACTGTCATCGGCTACAGAATCCCACGTCAGAGAATGAGGAGGCTTACCGCAGCCTTCGCTCGGAGGTTCGGAGAGCCGTGAGGCGCTGCAAGGATGGGTGGTGGTCGCGGGTTGCTGAGGAGATGGAGTCTGCCTCAGTGGCCCGTGATCACAAATCGCTATTTAACTCCATCAAAAAAGTAACCTGCAGCGCCACACCTATTACCATCATTAGGGGAAAAAACGGTGATCCAATTTCCGACCCCCAGGAACAGGTTCGCAGATTTGCTGAGCATTTCTGTGAGGTCCTGGGGGAGGGAAAATCCCACAGCCAGGAAAACATCGTGGCACAAAGTGAGGATGACCCTGCTGAGGCTGCGGTGCCTCAAATATTGGATGAAGTCACCCCCTGTGAGTGGCTGGCTGAGGTGCCATCTGCTGAGGAAGTATTGAAGGCGATCCGGAGTCTGAGACCAGGAAAGGCAGCGGGCAGAGATGATCTCCCAAGCGAAATGCTGAGGGAGGGTGGCGTTTGTGCACAGACTGCCCTATATGACATCATAACAACAGTCTGGACCACTGGACGGGTTCCGCAGGATTGGAAGGATGCCCTGGTGGTCCCCCTTTTTAAGAAGGGGGACCGCACAGACTGTAACAACTACAGGGGCATCTCACTCCTCAGTGTGCCGGGAAAGGTCCTGGCAAGGATTATTCAGCATCGCCTTGCCAGGCACGCTGAGGAGAGGCTTGCGGAGCCCCAATGCGGTTTCAGGAAAGGGCGGTCCTGCACAGATGCCATATTTTCTGTCCGTCTGCTACAGCAGAGGTGTAGGGAATTCCAACAAGACCTACATCTCTGCTTTATTGACCTGGTCAAGGCCTATGATACCATCAGTAGGCCTGGGCTCTGGGTCGTTCTTCGTGCTTTTGGAGTACCTGACCCTCTGCTCACGATCATTAAGGACCTTCATGATGGTGAGCGGGCCCGGGTAAAACTACGTGGCGGGAGTCAGAGCCATTCCCTGTACACCTTGGGGTGCGACAGGGATGTCCTCTGGCTCCCACATTATTTAACATCTATTTTGACCACGTAGTTCGTGAAGCCTTCAATAGCTGTACCGGGGGAATCTCCATATGGTACAGATATAATGGGAGGCTAATCGATGCCCGGGTGCGGTCAAGGGATGGCTCCCTATTGCTCAACCACGTTATGTATGCTGATGACTTGGTAATAGCTGCTCAGTCAGAGGAGGAGTTGCAGACGCTGCTGCTGAGACTGGAGCGTGCCACTAAGAGGTGGGGCCTTACCATCAGCCCCACCAAAACTAAGCACCTGCCTGGGTATTTTGTACCATCGGACACTCCACCCCCACAACTCCCAATCGGTGATGGGGCAGTTGTGGAGAGAGTGGAGAGTTTCCCATACCTGGGCAGTGTGCTTATGACTGGCTCCAGTTTAACAGCAGAGGTCTCACTCCGAATCAGTCGAGCGGCAATATCTTTTCATCGGTTGCGTAACGCTGTGTGGAAGCTACCTGGTCTGTCGCTCCGCACTAAGCTTCAGGTCTTCTCGGCCACGGTCATTCCCTCCCTTCTCTACGCTTGCGAAACGTGGACCCCCCTAATGGAACATCTTCGCCGGTTAGAAACATTTAGGCTGACCTGCCTACGATCCATCCTGGGTTTAACCAGACTGGATTGTGTGAGGAGCTCACAAATCCTTGAAAGATCTGGGCAGGGTCCCATCGGTGAGCTCCTCCGGCAGGCAAGGCTGCGATGGCTGGGTCATGTAGCCCGCATGCCCAGCCACCGCATGCCGAAACAGCTTTTGTTTGGCCGGATTGAGGGGGCTAAGCGGGCGCGGCACGGGCTAGAGAAGAGATGGAGTGATGTGGTACAGGAGGACGTGGAGCTGAGTGGACTTGCCGATGACTGGTACCAGCGGTGTCAAGATCGGCCTCTGTGGAGGAGGCTCGTGAAGGATGCTACTGGGCAGTTGGAGGCAGTCGCCCTCCAACAACAACGGAGGGCGGAGGAGCGACGCTCACAACAGCGAGCGGAGCGCCGGGTGGCTAAAGCACAGCAGGTTGGCACAGTAGGGGGCACAGGTGGTGCATCAGCCAGTCATCTCAGTCAGTCGACCCGTGGCACCTGGGTCTGCCCCGTGACCTCCTGCCAGCGGGCGTTCGACACTTCACGTGGCCTCAGGGTGCACATAGCCTGGCACAAGCGTCGTGGTGACGTCACCGCCACTTAGTGGCGAATGGCGGTTGTTGTTGTTGTTGTGTGTGTGAGTGACTGAGTGTATGTGTGAGTGTGTGAGTGGCTGAGTGTATGAGTGACTGAGTGTGTGTGTGAGTGACCGAGTGAGTATGAGTGAGTATGAGTGAGTGAGTGTGTGTGAGTGTGTGTGTGAGTGACTGAGTGACCGAGTGAGTGTGTGTGTGAGTGTGTGAGTGACTGAGTGTGTGTGAGTGACTGAGTGTGTGTGTGAGTGTGTGTGTGTGAGTGTGTGTGAGTGTATGTGTGTGAGTGTGTGAGTGACTGAGTGTATGTGTGAGTGTGTGTGAGTGACCGAGTGAGTGTGTGTGTGAGTGTGTGTGAGTGAGTGGGAGTGAGTGTATGAGTGACTGAGTATATGTGTGAGTGTGTGTGAGCGATCCAGCGAGCGAGCGTGACGGCACTCACGGCGATGTCGATCGTGGGCGCGCGCAAGCTGACGGCGCGGACCTTCGTGACCACGTTCTCAGTCTCCTCCACCCGCGCGGACGCCGTGAAGTTCATGGTCCCGTGCTCGCTCAGGTGAAGCAGGTAGTCGCTCACCAGCACCGGGAACTCCAACTCACCGGCTGTGAGCAACGCGCGCGTAGACAAAGATTCAGCCCCCCACCGACGGTATAGCCTTTTAAGTGTTTTGGGGCAAGTGCTGTTACGCGAGTGGCACCTATGTAGGGGAATGGGCGGGGAGGGGGTGGTGGTGGGGGGGGGGGGGGGGGCAAGCGTCACGCCCGGCCGCCTTTGTCTCCCCAGGGGCGACGTTTACCGCACAACGCACCGGGCACTTATTTGAGGCTGAGTCGACCGAGGGGAGGCCCAGGACCGGTTCGGATAATCGTCACTGTTGGTGGAGGTGGCCGTGAGAGGGAATCGTCACCTCCCCCCCTCCAATTGACCATCGTCACCCCCCCCCCCCCCCCGTTCACCATCATCACCCCCCCTCCATTCACCCTCCCCCCCCCCCCCGTTCACCATCGTCACCCCCCCCTCCATTCACCATCGTCACCCTCCCCCCCCCTCCGTTCACCATCGTCACCCCCCCCCCCTCCATTCACCCTCCTCCCCCCCCCCCGTTCACCATCGTCACCCCCCCTCCGTTCACCATCGTCACCCCCCCCTCCATTCACGCTCCTCCCCCCCCTCCGTTCACCATCGTCACCCCCACCCCCCCACCCCCCACACTCACTCTCGCCGGGCTCGAGCACCGCCGTGGCCCTGTCCCTCTTGAAGCGCTGCCTGGAGGCTCCCGTGTAGGAGGCGAAGTCTCCCTGGACGTGCACCGTCACGGTGGCGGTGGCGGCGGTCCCCTTCCCGTTGGCGACGCGGACCCTCACCGCGAAGTCGCTGCCCACCGCCGCGTCGCCGATGGCGAACGAGAGGGCCAAGTCGCCGGGGCCGAGTCGGCGCTCAACGGCGACGGCGTCGTCCGCGGCCGCCGGGGAGGCCGGAGGAGAGGCCGGGGACGGCACGCGCCGCGCGGCGTCCCCGGACGTCGACGGCGAGTAGGGGACGAAGTCTATGCCTCCCGCCAGGGCAAGAGCCATCGTATCGCGTTCCTCACGCGATCCTTGGGTGGGTGGGGTGGGTGGGGGAGGGAGGAGAGGGAGGAGAGGGAGCCGGGAAGTGAAGGATGAACACGCTGATCCGCGGGATAACTCTCACAGAGGGTTCGATCCCGACCATGACGACGCCTGCTGTGTATTTGGAGTCTGCGTCTCTCTCTCTCTCACTCACCGTCATCACGGTGGCTAGGAGATGTTGACTACCTCGCCTGGTATACAGGAGGTCGTGGGTTCGATCCCGACCCTGACGATGCCTGCTGCTGCTGTATATTTTGAGTTTGCGTGTCTCTATCATCATCATCACGGTGGCTAGGAGATGTTGACTACCTCGCCCGGTATACAGGAGGTCGTGGGTTCGATCGTGAACCCTGACGCCTGCTGTGTATTTGGAGTCTGCGTCTCTCTCTCTCACCGTCATCACGGTGGCTAGGAGATGTTGACTACCTCGCCTGGTATACAGGAGGTCGTGGGTTCGATCCCGACCCTGACGATGCCTGCTGCTGTATATTTTGAGTTTGCGTGTCTCTCTCATCATCATCATCATCACGGTGGCTAGGAGATGTTGACTACCTCGCCTGGCATACAGGAGGTCGTGGGTTCGATTCCGACTCTCTCTCTCAGTAGTCGCGTGGAGTTTTTCTCATCTGGGTCCTCCGGGTTTTCGTTTTTCCCCCTTTCACGTTTAGAATCGACGTCACCCGTGTTCAGATTGTGTTTGGCCGCTGATACAAATTTCCACGCGACAACGGCGGTAAGCCACCTGGTTCAGCTACCATTTGTGACGGCCATGTCGCTTCTGAACAAGAGCCACACACCAGCTCTGTCTGGGGACCCTTAGCTCGAGGAATAAACAACCAAAAAAACGAACGAACTTTCCCAAAGGCTCACAAAGGGCACGGCCGTGCATCGGTGCCATCATCTCGGCTGATTGAGGCAAGTGGCTCTCTTACCACGGACGGACCAACAGCCCAAGAGGGGTCGGCAGTAGTGGCAGCTACAAGCCATCGTCCGGTGGTTATATTTATATATATCAGTCAAAAGTTGCGTGTGTGTGTTTGTGTGGCGGGGTTTGTGTGTGGGTTTGTGGCGGGGTTTGTGTGTGAGTTTGTGGCGGGTTTGTGTGTGTGTGTTTGTGTGTGGGTTTGTGTGTGGGTTTGTGGCGGGGTTTGTGTGTGTGTTTGTGTGTGGGTTTGTGTGTGGGTTTGTGTGTGTGTTTGTGTGTGGGTTTGTGTGTGGGTTTGTGGCGGGGTTTGTGTGTGTGTTTGTGTGTGGGTTTGTGGCGGGGTTTGTGTGTGGGTTTGTGTGTGGGTTTGTGTGTGTGGGTTTGTGTGTGTGGTTTGTGTGTGTGTTTGTGTGGTCGCGTACTTGGCTCTCCAACGTTGGGATTTACGTAAAAAAAAATAGCCACGTACCACGCCCTAATCCCCGCGGTGAACAAGCACTATTCCTTTTTTCACATCCGTCAACTTAAAAATTGGTTAATTCGCGATGTAGTGCGATTTCTGCGCGCTTTCCTCTTATTTCTTTGTTGATGACGCGTGCACGACCATACCAACTCACGCTCCTTTAGTGGGGGGGACGGCCCATGCCAAGTAGCACCCCCATGCGTGCAGTTATTGCTACTATACAGTCGGTAGATGCTACCACTATAGGGCGTAGACATCGTGCCTGGCGGTGGGGGAGGGGGTCAGGGGTAGCAGCCCAGCCCCAAGCCTGCCAAGGTGCCACCTCGGCCTGCTGGACAATCTAGGCGAGGCCAGAGGCTCTGCACGGGACTAGGCCTCACCACGCCACTCTGTCAGGTGAGTACTTCGTGCTATGGAGTCCATAAAGACTGCTCTAGAGTCAGCATTTACTACTGTAGTGATAGCAGGCACCGCCACAGTCGGTATGCACTGCTGTAATCACAACAGGTATCACCACAGTCAGTATGCACTGCCGTTAGATTTTTCAGAGTATGTTTGAAATATATTTTTAAAAAATATATATAATAAGTGTCCCGGTGTTCCTCGAGCGGGGTAAAACATCGAACTCGACGTTCCCCTGCGCTCCGATTAACCGGGGCGGCCCGCGGGGTTTTTTTTTTTCCGAACTCGCGTTGGCGCGCGCACGCTCTCTCACGCGAGACGTACCCTCGGGGAACTTGTACTGCAGGGTGATGTCCTCGCGTCGCATGCTGCCCACCGCCTTGGTGCTGATGTCCTTGCCGATGACGGACGTGTCGGTGTACACCTTGTGGAACCTCCAGTCCTTGCCCCAGACCCAGTACACGCGGTCGCCGTTGACCTGGGCTCGCGTGCGGGGGCGACGGGCGAACGGCGGCCGGGGAGGGTTGGTCGTTGTTGTCGTTGTTGTTGTTGTTGTTTGGGTTCGATCGCGTAAATATCAATGCGTCGTTTGAACAAACGTAACGAAACAAAAAAACAAAAACTGAACGTTTTTTTGTTTTGTGAACACAAAACTGAACGTTTTTTTGTTTTTGTTTTAATGCGATTTAATGTTATCACGCACAGACGCATGAAGACAAAGATCCCGTCCCCCCCCCCCCCAGTGTATAGCCTCAACAGACTGTTGGGTCAAGTGCTGTTAGCGAGCACCTATGAATGTCGGCATTGTGAAACACGAGGTGGGGGGGGGGGGGGGGTGGCCAGCACCACACAGACAGACACACACACACAAACAAACAAACACACAGACACACACAAACAGAACATACACGCACACACATACACAGACACACACGCAGACACACACCTCGGCGAAGACGAAGGGGGTGTCGTGCTTGATGTGCACGTGGCCGTTCTTGACCGCCACCTGTGGTGCCGGCCCGCACTGCATGAGGCCTGAATGGAGGCACACAAAGACAAAGACCCCCCGTGTAGCCTTAACAGACTGTTGAGGCAAGTGCTGTTAGCGAGCAGCACCTGTGAAGGCCGGCACGGTGGCACACGAGGGGGTGGGTGGCCAGCACCACGCCCGGCCGCCTTTGTCTCCCTAGTGGTGATGTTTACACATCGCAACATTTCAGGCTGAGTCGACCTAGGGGAGGCCCGGGACCGGTTCAGGTAATCGTCACTGGATTTGGCCGTGAGCGGGAATCGAACTCAGGTCGCCAGGTTCGTAGCGCAGAATGAATTATTAAGAATGAATAGACGCCTGATGAGCGAACGAACAGGTAATCAATGAATGACTCAACGACTATTGAATGAATAAGAATGAATAGACGAATTAACTAACTTATGATCGAACGAATGATTAATTAAATTAATGATTTAACGACTAACTGAATGAGTAAGAATGAATAGACAACTAACTGATGAGCGAATGAATGAATACAATTAATGATTTAACGACTGACTGAATATTTTCTTTGGTTATTTCGGTAAAGTCACGTAGGTGAAAAAATACAATTTAAATAAAAAATAATAAAATAAATTGCTTTTTTTTATTTTTAAATTTAAAAAAAATTTCGATTATTTTTTCACCTACGTGACTTTACCGAAAGAGCCAAGGCGTATGGATCCTTGCAGTCACGAAAACTTCAAACCTAGAATGGACTAACTGAATGAGTAAGAATAATTAGACGGAATAAATGAACAGATGAGCGAACGAACGAATAATTAAATGAATGACTTAACGACTAGCTGAACGAGTAAGAATGAATAGACGGACTAACTGATGATTCGAACGAACGAGCAACTAAAACGGAATTGACAAACACCAAACCAGCGAGCGAACTAACACCCAAGCGAACGTTGCGAACGCAAGCCGTCGAATAAATGAACGAAGAATGAATGAAGAACGAACGAACGAAGGTGGGGGTGGGGGGTGGTGGTGGGGGAGTGCGCGTACCGTTGCTCTGCTCCTGCGGCGTCGCATCGACGATCTGCCAGCCGCCGTTGTCGCCCGGCAGGTCGGGCCTCGCCATCCACGCCTCGTTCCACACGTGGAAGTTCCTGCGACGAGGGCGAGAGACGGGACTTTTTTCGTTTTTGTTTTTTGTATTTGTTTAGCTTTTTTGTTTTGTATTTATCTGTTTCGTTTTAGCTTTGTTTTTTTTTATTTGTTTTTTTGTTTAGTTTTATTTTTTTTCGTTGTTTTGTATTTGTCTGTTTCGTTTTAGCTTTGTTTTTGTTCTGGTTTTTTAATTTGTTTTTGTTTAGTTTTTGTTTAGTTTTTTTTAGTTTTTGTTTTGTTAAGTATTTGTTTGGTTTATTTTTTGCTTATTTTTTTTTCGTTTTTGTTTTATTTTGTATTTGTTTGGTTTTTGATTTGTTTTTTGTTTAGTGTCGTTTTAATTCTTTTTAGTTCCGTTATAGTTTTGTTTCGTTTTAGTTTTGTTTCTGTTTCTGTTTGTTTTGTTGTAGTTTTGTTTTTGTTTAAATTTAAGTTTTTGTCTTTTTTTGTTAGTTTTTTTTGTAACCCCAGCGGGCATGAGGCATTGAGCCCAACCCTGGCTCCGGCCCCAACCCCCCCCCCTCCCCCCCGGGGTTCGGGCTCAGCCCTCACGATGAACGCGTCGCCACTCCACAGATGGAGTGGCGGTGGAAAAAGGGGGCAGCATTACGCCCCGCCCTTGGCTCGGGCCATCCCTAGGTCGGCTCAGCCATAACAAAGAATGACTACTGTACCGTGACCAGCTGCAGTGGTGGTGGACAAAGGGACACAGATTCACCGCCAGGTTCGGGCTACCCCTAGGTCGGCTGAGCCTTAACAAAGAATTAGTACCGTGACCAGCTGGACAAAAAAAAAATCACAACATTGTTGTTTTTGCGCAGAATTTTGCGTTTTCAATCGCTTCATCGCTCAAACTTTATTTCGCCATTGTAGGTCATTCTGGTGATGCCCGGGTCAAATAAATCAACAAAACTTGTGTCTATAGCCCCCCTCCCAGTGCCTCGACTCACCAGATGGAGTCGTGGTTCAGCGAGTCTATGGGCCACATGTCCTGGTCCAAGTAAGTGTCCATTGTCAGATTCGCATTCTGGTCGTGCATCGACGAGAAGTTGGAGATGCTGCGACAGGGGATGCCCAGACAGCGGAGAACTGCAACAGCGGACCACGCCACGACCTGTCATTAGCACGGGTTGGCTACGTACGCTGCGAAAGAAGTTAAATATATATACAGCACGCCAGGCGAGACCACACCACGCCACACCACTCCAGACCACACCATGTCACACCAGGCTCCAACAGACCACACCACGCCACACCAGACCACACCTCGCCACACCAGGCTCCACCAGATCACACCACACCACATCACCCTAGACCACACCACGCCACACCAGACCACACTGCACGCCACACCATACCCCACCAAGCCACACCAGACCACACCAGGCTACACCAGACCCCACCACGCAACACCAGACCACACCAAGCCACACCAGACCACGCCACACCACACCACGCCACACTACACCACGTCACACCACACTACGCCACACCAGGCCACATCACATCACGCCACATCACACCACGCCACATCACACCACGCCACACTACACCACGCCACACCACACTACGCCACACCAGGCCACATCACACCACGCCACATCACACCACGCTACATCAGACCACACCGTGCCAGACCAAAACAAATAAAGCAGACAAATCCCACCTTCCCATATCCCATCTCTCCACGTAAATATATAATTGCGCTTCGACACATTCCATCAGCCACACGGCCTTCCTTTCTGGGTGTGCACCAAATTTCGGCGGCATTGGTTCAACGCGAGCACAAAGTCTGGGCCGGTTTCGACATTCAGTGTCTCATCAATGACGTTAAAAAGAGATGCTCCTAATCTGGCACGGTTGCCATTACGCCAGCGGCGATATCCGGGTGGCCTTTGCCTGTGCTGCTGATGAGTCCACGGTGAGTCGAAACGCGGTCCAGAGTTTGCTCGACTATGGGCAGAGATTGGTTTTGACATGCAGTGTCTCATCAGCACCAGGCCCGCTCGAAGCAATGCCGGCTGAACTGCCAGATGGCAATTGGCAAGGCAGATGGATGGGGAACTAACTGCCAGGTGATCTTATTCTATATTTATTGGACGCCTTTTTTATTATTAGAGCCGCTTGACATCATTTACAAAGCTAATGAACAAAGACATGATTTACAGTAGATGGCGGGGGACCTTGCAAGGGATGAGGAATGGGAGATGGTCACGGTAGAGAGGTGCGTAGGGGATAGGAAAGGGTAGTGGAGGGGCGGGCGGGCGGGCTGGTGAGCTGGTGAACGGGCGAGATGGTGAGCGGGCGAACGGGCGGGCTGATGAGCGGGCGAGATGGTGAGCGAGTTGGCGAGCGGGCGAGCTGGTGAGCGAGTTGGTGAGCGGGCGAACTGGTGAGCGAGTTGGTGAGCGGGCGAGATGGTGAGCGAGCTGGTGAGCGAGCTGGTGAGCGGGCGAGCGGGCGAGCGGGCGAGCGAGTTGGTGAGCGGGCGAACTGGTGAGCGAGTTGGTGAGCGGGCGAGATGGTGAGCGAGCTGGCGAACGGGCGAGCGGGCGAGCTGGTGAGCGAGTTGGTGAGCGGGCGATCTGGTGAGCGAGTTGGTGAGCGGGCGAGATGGTGAGCGAGCTGGCGAGCGGGCGAGCGGGCGAGCTGGCGAGCGAGTTGGTGAGCGGGCGATCTGGTGAGCGAGTTGGTGAGCGGGCGAGATGGTGAGCGAGCTGGCGAGCGGGAGAGTGGGGCGAACTGGTGAGCTGGCTTGTGTGTGGGCGAGCTGGTGAGCAGACGAGATGGTGAGCCGGTGAGCTAGTGAGCGGGTGAGCTGGTGAGCAGGGTGAGCTGGCGGGTGGACGAGCGCGCGAGCCGGTGAGCGGTCGAGCGGGCGTTGCCCGGCGCTGCCTGACCGGTGGTGAGCAGCCCGGAGAACACCCAGCACTGGCCGTAGCGGACGGGTCGTCCCACGCGGCCGTAGCGCAGGAGGATGTCGACGCTGCCGTTCCACGCGGTGGGGGGGACGCCATTCCTGTAGTTTCCCGACCAGCGGCCCATGAGTACCCCGTATCGTCGTTGGCGTTCAACTGTTCCAGGGGAAGAGGGGGACGGTGGATAGCCGGACAGGGCGCCGCGGTGGCGAGGAGATGTTAACGACCTCGCCTGGTGTACAGGAGGTCGTGGGTTCGATCCTGACCCTGACGACACCAGGTGTGTATTTGGAGTCTGGGTCTCTCTGTCTCCCTCATCATCATCATCACGGTGGCTAGGAGATGTTAACTACCTCGCCTGGTGTACAGGAGGTCGTGCGTTCGATCCTGACCCTGACGACGCCAGGTGTTTATTTGGAGTCTGCGTCTCTCTGTCTCATCATCATCACGGTGGCTAGGAGATGTTAACTACCTCGCCTGGTATACAGGAGGTCGTGGGTTCGATCCTGACCCTGACGACACCAGGTGTGTATTTGGAGCCTGCGTCTCTCTGTCTCATCATCATCATCATCACGGTGGCTAGGAGATGTTAACTACCTCGCCTGGTGTACAAGAGGTCGTGGGTTCGATCCTGACCCTGACGACGCCAGGTGTGTATTTGGAGTCTGCGTCTCTCTGTCTCCTCATCATCATCATCACGGTGGCTAGGAGATGTTAACGACCTCGCCTGGTATACAGGAGGTCGTGGGTTCGATCCTGACCCTGACGACGCCAGATGTTTATTTGGAGTCTGCGTCTCTCTGTCTCCTCATCATCATCATCACGGTGGCTAGGAGATGTTAACTACCTCGCCTGGTGTACAGGAGGTCGTGGGTTCGATCCTGACCCTGACGACGCCAGATGTTTATTTGGAGTCTGCGTCTCTCTGTCTCATCGTCATCATCATCACGGTGGCTAGGAGATGTTAACGACCTCGCCTGGTATACAGGAGGTCGTGGGTTCGATTGACAGGTGATTCTTTTGAGTGACGGGTGGTTCGACTCACAATGGCGGAGGTGGTGCGAGACACGGCGATGGGGCTCCCGCGGAAACTCATGCCTAGGTCCCCCTTGTCCAGGAGGGAGAGGCAGACATCGAGGATCCCGCGCTCGAACTGCAACGACAAACGCACGCGGCCATCGATCGATCGATCGATCGCGTTGCCGAGATGTTAACTACCTCGCGGCGGTGGTGATGGTGGTGGTGGTTATGGGCAGCGGTAGTGTAGCGATTAGCGCGCTGGCCAAGAACCCGGCGACCCGAGCTTGATTCCGGCTCAAGGTCAACGCCAGTGACAATTATTATTAAACCCGTAATTGGGCCAACACCAGTGTTGGAATATCTTAACCGGTCCTCGACCTCCCCAAGGTCGACTCAGCCTCAAATGAGTGCCTGGCACCATGTGTCAACATCGCCACTTGGGGAGACAAAGGCGGCCGTGCGTGGTGTCGGCCACCCACCCCATCGTGTGCCACAGTGACGGCCCTCATTAGGTGCTTGCGAACAGAACTTGCCCCAACACACTGTCAAGGCAAACACGGGGGATCTTTGCCATCGGTGGTGGTAACCGTGTCCATTGCGCCAGCGGTAACGGTGGCCGTGACGGTGATGGCTGACTACGGCGGTCGCGAATGTCGGCAGCGGCGGAAAATTGAGCTCCGTCGCGGTGGCGCGGGTGGCATTAGCGGCGAAGGCCGTAACGAGCTGTGGCCCCGCCAACCCCTCGCCACTCACACGCGCGCACACACACACACACACACCTGCCCGAAGTTCCAGTGTTGCGTCACGATCTGCTGGCTCGTGCCCAGGTAGAGGCAGCCCGTGTCGTTGAGCACGTACTCGCGCCTCCACGACTCGTCGCTCATGAACACCTGGTCCTCTGCGGCACGTCGGGCGGCACGGGCTCGCGGTCAGCGAACCCCGCGGAGAGACGGGCGACTCCGCATCGTCCTCCTCCACCAACCCACCCACCCACCCCAACCACTCAACTCACCCAGCCACCCAACCCACTCAACCCACCCACCCACCCCACTCACCCAAACCCACCGCACCCACCCCAACTACTCAACTCACCCACCCACCCACCCACCCCACTCACCCACCCACCCACCCAACCCACTCAACTCACCTACCCACCCACCCAACCCACTCAACTCACCCACCCACCCACCCAACCTACTCAACTCACCCACCCAACCCACTCAACTCACCCACCCACCCAACCCACTCAACTCACCCACCCACCCAACCCACTCAACTCACCCACCCAACCAACCCACTCAACTCACCCACCCAACCAACCCACTCAACTCACCCACCCAACCAACCCACTCAACTCACCCACCCACTCAACTCACCCACCCACCCAACCAACCCACTCAACTCACCCACCCACACAACTCACCCACCCACCCAACCAACCCACTCAACTCACCCACCCACCCAACTAACCCACTCAACTCACCCACCCAACCAACCCACTCAACTCACCCACCCACTCAACTCACCCACCCACTCAACCCACTCAACTCACCCACCCAACCAACCCACTCAACTCACCCACCCACCCAACCCACTCAACTCACCCAGCCACCCAACCAACCCACTCAACTCACCCACCCAACCAACCCACTCAACTCACCCACCCACCCACCCAACTAACCCACTCAACCCACCCACCGAACCCACTCAACTCACCCACCCACAAACCCACCGACCCACCCGAACCACCCATCCCCGCGCTCTCATCACACGCCCAGTGCACACCATCAGTTCTCGGATGTAGCGAGCTGATGGTCTCAGCTAGCGGTCACCATTGGCTTAACGTGATTTGGCCCTTGTACATAATTAATGTACAGCGCCATGTGATGCAATCAGTATGAATGAAGCTATATAAAAGGAAATTATTACAGCATTATTATTACCATGTTCGCCCCCCCCCCCCCTCCAAAAAAAATCCCCTACCATAATGCCCTCGCTGATCTGCAAACTTTTTTCGCACCGAACGTAGCCAACCATGTTCATCGGATGTGCGGGTGCAGGACAACAAACTACGGCCAGCGCTGTAGCAGCAGCAGCAGCAGCAACACCAGCAGTGTCACCACCAAAACAAAATCGCGAGACAGCTTCGGGATGGAAGCGGTCTCAGTTTGCAAGAGGAGATGCCGCAAGGAGAGACGTCGATGGAGGTGAAGGAGACCCACACCCCCCCCTCCCCCCCCCACCGGAGGTTACCGAAATTCATCGATGGAGGCCCTGAGAATTGTGGGAGGGGAGGACCCACCTCTGCACCACGGGTTGAAGAGCACGTAGGTGTCCGTATTGGGGTCCCTCCTGGTCCTGTTCGGCTGTCCGTCCGACTCGGTCACGACGTACATCTCGAACCGACCCACGATGCAGTTGGGGGCCAGGTTCATGGAGATGGTGAGCTCGTTGCCGCTGCAGCGTGACACCGTGGCCCCGAAGCGACTCTCGGAGTTCCATCCGCTCACCTCCGCCACCACAAGGGAGCCCCTGCTCTCCAGCGGGAAGCGTCCTGCCCAGCGACGGGACACCGTTAAAAGTGAGAATTTGGGGGTTAAAGCCACGATTCCAGAGGTTGATGCCAGAATTTCGGGGATTGGAGCCAGAATTTTGCGGGCTCAGGCCAGAATTTCAGTGGATAAAGCCATAATTTCTGGGTTTAAGGCCATAATTGCAGGGGTTAAAGCCATAATTTCTGGGATTAAGGCCATAATTTCAGGGGTTAATCCCATAATTTATCGGTTTAAGGCCAACATTTCAGTGGTTGAAGTCAGAATTTCGGGGGCTCAAGCCAGAATTTCTGGGATTTAAGCTAGAATGTTGGGAATTCAGGCCAGACTTTGGCAGTTGATCCGGCAAGCACGCTTAAGCAAATGCCCACATGTCGTTAACCCACCTCCACCCGACACACCCAATTCATGAAGTTTGTCATGTGAATAACAAAACGTGGAAATTAATTACCCCCCCCGTCTCCCACCACTCTCCGGGATAACCACCACACCCCGCGCCATCCCGCTCACCGATCTGCAGCTCCAGGCGAATCTTGTCTCTTATGGGGTCGTAGGGGCGGTTCAGCTTGAGCTGCAGGTCAAAGGGCTCCCCGCGGCGCAGCACGAGGTTGTCCACCTCGTAGTCGCTCGTGCGGTGCCGCGCCCGGTTAGCCGCGATCAGCTGGTCCACCGACAGCACCGCGAGGTGGCGGCGCCTCCCTACGCCAGGATCGTTGCCGGGAAAATCGCTCCCGGCCAAGTGCCCTGACGGTGTTTTCGCACGGCCGTTAGAAACAATCCACGCCTCGGGTGTCCCCGGCTGGCTGCTGGCCTGGGCTCCTGTCCACCCCCACCTCCCCCCCCCCCCCACCTCCCTCCCGCGGGGCTACGGAGCTCTGTGTGTGTGTGTGGGTCAACTTTAACATTTTTATTATAATTTTTTTTTGCCAATTGAATCGTACTTTCGAAGAAAAAATGTGTTTGGTTTAGGTTCGTTTTATTCTCTGCTGCACAGCAACGGGTTTTTCTACTCGTAATTGCAACGTGAAGTCAAATCGCACGTCGCGTTTCCTGTTGGTGCAATAGTTCTCGTGGGTAGGACAGGACTGTCGCCACATCGAGTACAGCTTGGTCGTCTGCAGCTTGGCAAAAACGGTTTCCCATGACACAGCTGCTCACCCCGAGCTATAAAGCGCTCTGATAGTGGCATTGTCTTTGCACTGGTCGTATTTTGGCGTTGTTCTCTGGTCTGACACTGGTGGCGAGACTAGGCCACGGAGAAGGCTGTCTCTGCTGTAGGCCAATCAGTTTCAAAGTCAATGCATATAAATCAGAGCGTGTGTGCTTGTATGTTCACCACAAGCACGTGTGGTTAATGCAGTACTTGATGCCTTGAAAAAGGAATCAATTTGGTGTTCGAACATCTTAACACTTGTTTTCATTAATCTTTGGTTCTTTCGGTAAAGTCACGTAGAAAGGTAATTAATTAAAGAGAATACGACGTTTCGATTGCAACACAAGCAGTCGTCATCAGGTAGAACTGAATTTGAGAGACAAAACATAGACACGGAGACGCACAGACAGACACACAAGCAAAGAGAGAGGCACACACGGATACACAGAGAGAGGCACACAGACAGACACACAAGCAGAGAGAGACACATAACATAGACACACAGACAGACACACAAGCAGAGAGAGAGAGAGGCTCACACAGAGACACACAGAGAGATACACACAACATAGACACACAGACAGACACACAAGCAGAGAGAGAGAGACACACAGAGACACACACAGGGAAAGAGAGACACACACAACATAGACACACAGGGACGTGACTTTAGTGAAGGAATATGAATCTGAATTCCCTTCACTCCCCCTCTGTATGTCTCTCGTTAAAATCAGAATATTTACTTATACTGGAGGAATCCGATGAGCTATAAAGCTCGTTTTCACATATGTCCAGTAGGAGTGGGGCAGAACTTTACAACAAGCAAAGCAAAACGCACGATAGGAGTGCAGAGTTACAGGAAATTTAAACAAATCACGAAAAAATACAAATGAAAACTAAACTATGTTTTATTACACTAAGCTATTAGCTTCTTTTTTTAGAAGCGACCTGGCCACAAATGTTAGCTCAACGAAGTGGCTTATCATCATCATCATCACGTGGAAATCTACATCAGCAAAAATTATCTAAACAATAATATGAACGCTGTGTAACGAAAAAAAAACTTTTCATACCTGGGTAGTAAGTGTTCATTCCGAATTGCTTATGCCTAAAAAGTATATACAGTGGATATTATTCCCCACAAACTATGCTTTTGTGACCAGGACAGTGATATTTAGTAATTTACCTATTTTCAAAGAGAACACGTGGTGTGCATTTGTGTCTTTCGTTCACGTAAAGTCCTGGTCACAAAGCAAAGTTTGTGGGGAATAATAATAGCCATTTTATATAATTGTAGGCATAAGCAATTAAAAAATAACGCTTACTACCCAGCGATAAGAAAATCGTGTTACATGGTGTGTGATCCCTTCCTGTGGGCATCGAGGAGGAGCCGTATGGACTGATCATCCATCTCAAGGCCGTAATTATAATATATATTGGGGGGAACTTATCCCCCTAATATTCAAATATGCTCAAAATGTCCCCCCCCCAATTTATTGCTATATTTTTTTTAAATGCTATGCTATGTAAATACAAACAACAATTTGCTGAACCTTGGCCACAATATCAGGACTTGTCTTCATATAAATCAATGCATCGATTTCTGTTTATATGACTGTGGTTATGGTTGTACTTTATTAATCCCTAATCTCTGCCATTACATACAATGAAACAAGAAATGGTAAAAAAAGTAAAAACAGAGCAATGTAAATACAATAACACTATTAGACATTATTGTAAAAAAAAAATATTAAAAAAAGTCTATCCCATGCGTTAGTGAATTTTTTTAATATTTTTTGGCAGGAAATTAGTTTTAAAGTTTAGATATTTTTCTGTGTTAGGACCCCCAGACACCCTGGAAGATTTGATCCCCCCCCCCCAATGTTGACTCCATGGCTACGGCCTTGATCCATCTGCCTCTCGTGGACGGGGATAGAGTATTGCACCCTCGCATGCGCGAGGGGGCTCCAGTTTCCTCCCACGTCGAGTGTAACAAACACCCATCACTCATCGCCATCCTAATGCGTAGACCGGTGCACAGCAATCGTTGGCAGTGCCGGCTCCACACCGCCTGGGCAGCCTTCCAGCGATTGAGAGGCGCCAATATAAAAATGTAATAAACCGAATTTATTTATTATTATTCTAAAACAACCCCACCCCGCATCCTAGGCGGAATGATGGCAACCGTCATCCATATCGCATTACAATAATTGACAACCCTTCGTGCATTACAAGCACGCACAGACACAGATGTATAAGCACTCCGCCTTGGTTGGGCGCCAGGAAAAATTATAACCCCCATCTCTCTCTCTCTTTCGCCCAGCGATGGTCCAACAGTTCCACGTGCTCCTGTGTCAAGACTCTTCATGACCGAATTGAACATCTAAAATAATAATAAGAAGGAAAAAAACCCCTAGGACTTGGACAGTTGTCGTTCCCTTGCTGCTGGGCCACTGTTAGCCAATTTAGTGGAGCTTGTGAGCTGTATGGGGCCCTGTGGGGTCCTTTGGGGGGCCCTATGGAACCTGTGGGGCCCTATGGAACCTGTGGGGCCCTATGGAACCTGTGGAGTCATATGGGACGTGTGGAACCCTATGGGGGCCCTGTGTGGTTCTATAGGGCATCGCGCGCTTTCAGGATGCGCTTCTGCGGCCGTCTGGAACGTCCCTTCCTTCATTTAAATGTCGATTAAAAGCTCACTTCTTTAGAACTGCTTTTTAGTGTTTCATGTTGTTGCCCTTCTCTCGCACCTCCGATCAGCACGGTTGGCTACGTTCGGTGCGAAAGAAGTTCAACGTACGTACGGACACACATACAGGCGCACTGTGCGTGTCTCAGCAACCGTGACACAAACATAAAACACCACGGACAGGCCCCACCAACCGCACCCAACATGACACTTTTGGCCCGAATCCAGTGACTGGGTCGACATTTCCGGGCCGTATAGTCTTGGCTTATTACGTAAGTAACACGGTGGTGGTGCTGGTGATGATGATGATGATGATATTTCTGTGTATCGCTGGGCCGATCCCCCGCTAGCAGGATGCCGGTGGGGGCCCACCATGGAAAGGTGATGGTTAACAAAAATTAGTCGATAAAAACTAAACCGATTCAAATCGACAGATTTTGTGAAAAACAATCGTGACGATCTGAACCAAAACCAAATTGTGTTGTTTTGTTGTTGTTCCAGGAAAGGCCCACTAAGCTACTATACAGCTCGTTTTTGTAGCCTCAACGGACTGTAGGGGCAAGGGCTGTTGGCGAGCGCCTATGAAGGCCGGGACAGTATACGACGGGGGTGAGTGGCCAACAACCACGCCCGACCGCCTTTGTCTCCCCAGTGGCGATGTTTACACACCGCACCAGGTACTCATTTGGGGGCTGAGTCGACCTAGGGAGGTCCAGGACCGGTTAAGATACTCCAACACTGGTGTTTGCCGTGAGCAGGAAACATACCTGTCAACCCATTATCAGTGCCTTACCTTAGTACAGACCAACTCAGACTTTTATTGATCACCCCAAATGCCCTTCTAAATCTCCACGTTTCATCCCACAAAGTCCCATCGAAGCGGGAGAAACACGAGCGAAATATTGAAACGGCTGTTACGCCGTATGGACCTGAAAACTCAATTATCCCTGTGCACGAATACGGGGTGAACCCGCGTGGCTTGACGGCTCCGGGGAAGTCGACCTCGGGCCCTCCGGGGTGTTCGCGGCGCGGCGCCCCAAACCATCGCGCCACCGCCTCCGCCGTTTGACCGCGCCACCGGTGCAGGAGGCGAATCGGTTTGCACTTTGCAGGGGGGTGGATAACTCACAGGGCCAGGACGGTTTCAGAGGCCGGATGTCCATCGCAACGCGTCCCGCTGCCGCCGCCGCCTCCACCTAGCGAGACAACGTCACGGAGACATGAGATGGACGGTTCCCCCACCCCTCCTTCTCCTTTGCTGTCCCACTGTCTGAATTGCCTCGCCCCCACCACCACCGAGCCATCCCTTACCCGATCACCGCAGCATCCACCCACCTCGCCTTGCTTCATCCCAGAGCTGCCTAGGGTGCCTTACTTCGCTCAACCAGCTTCAAAGACGCTGCGAATCTTAACGGCGTTCATTGAAGCTCTGTCGTCCCGACAGGTCTGTCCCTTTCCACCTGAAGAAGGCCACTTGTGTTGTGGCCGAAACGGCCGGGAATGATCTTCGAGGATCGTTATGGCCCCAGGTTGGCTCAGTGGCAGAACGGACGGCTCGCAATTGAAAAACGAAAGAAGGCTTGAGATTTCAAAGCATGGTTGCGTTGGGGTTCACGAACCTACGACCCCTGCATGCCAGGCGAGGTAGTTAACATCTCGCCACACAGTTGGATGATTACTCAGCCCATAGTTCTCCTCCCCCCCCCTCTCCCCATGTGGGGAGTCGATACAATAAGTACACTTTTTTTTCTTCGTTCTTTCGGTAAGGGCACGTAGAATGGAAATAAAAGAATAAAAATAAAACATAAAAAATGAAAAAAATGATTATGTTAAATAAAATTTTGTTTACGTTTTATTTTTATTATTTTATTTCCATTCTACGTGGTGACTTTACCGAAAGAACCAAGAAGATGAATCCCTGCAGTCACGAAAGCTTTAAATCGAAATTTGAGTACAACATTGTTGGAGGAAGTCAACAGCGGTTGTCCCATATATATATAGACTCGGCACCGCCATAGGAAGGTGGAATATCCACGACTGGCTCTGTGGGGCTGTGAACGGGAGATGGACACCGATGATGCCTCGTTGCCCAGCGAGCGAGAAACTCAACTTGCTTCTGCGCACCTCCAATGTGTGCGGTTGGCTATCTATGTACGGTGCGAAAGAAGTCCAGCATACATAAACGTTGAGTCTTGTTGCACCAATCGCTACCAGGGCTTGACAGGGTTTGCTTGGAGTGGTAGGGACGGAATATCGACGTGAGGCACTACCACTAGAGTATATTGGGTGCCGCGGTGGCTAGGAGATGTTAATTACCTCGCCTGGTATACAGGAGGTTGTGCGTTCGATCCCGACCCTGACGCCTGCTGCTGTATATTTGGAGTTTGCGCGTCTCTCTCATCACCATCGCAGTGGCTAGGAGATGTTAACTACATCGCCTGGTATGCGGGAGGTCGTGGGTTCGATCCCGACCCTGACGCCTGCTGTTTATTTGGAGTCTGCGTCTCTCTATTTCATCATCATCACGGTGTCGAGGAGATGTTACCTACCTCGCCTGGTATACAGGAGATCGTTGCTTTCGATCCCGACCCTGACGCCTGCTGTATATTTGGAGTCTGCGTGTCTCCCTTCCCGTGGTCGCGTGGATTTGTCTCCGGGCACTCCGGTTTTTCCCTCCACATTTAGAATCAACATCATCACGCGTTCAGAGCGTTTGTCTGCTATAAATGTCCACGTGATGAGCCACTTCGTTGAGCTACCCTTTGTGACTTCTAAAATAAAGAGCAAGAGAGCTCAGTGGGCCTTACCTGGTAAAATATGTTTTTAAAAAAAAGTTTATAGTTTTATTTTAGTAGCTATATTAACAAATTTCGTTAATAACACAGCGGTCTTAAAAACGAACGCCGCTGTAGGAATGTGTGTGTGTATATAATTGGCGACGTTTGGGGCGATGGCCCTTCTTCATAGCTCACTCTCCTCCGCTGCCCTCCATCGTGTGGCAGTGCCACCTCGCAGGCGGCCCCCGACCTCCCCACTGCACCTGCTCAGGTTCAGGTTCAACTCCCTCGCTTGACATCCACATATCTCGTTTATGGCACGTCGCCTTCTCGCCCACAACGTTCTCAATCTTCGCCGTCTCTCTCTCTCTCTCTCTGTGCTCCTCGTTGTGCTCAATCCAGGCCGTCGCTCTCTACCTCTCTCTCTCTCTCTTCATCAGCCCCCCTTCACTGGAACAAACTTCCCCCTGCACATTAACCGGGCACCTTCGCTCACTAAGTTTCCGCTCCGCACTCAAAACTCACTTCTTGTTACCCCTCGATAACACCACGTGAATAACCATCACCACCGTTACTGCTCCTTCCCTCTTCGTATATTCATTATATGGCTATCACTTATTAACCCCCATTCATTCAATCATTCATCATCATTTAATTCATCATTCAATAATTCATGAATAATTCAATCGTCAAGCATTCACTCATTCATCATCATCATTTAGTCAATCATTTATCATTGATTCAATCATTCATCATCATTGAATCATTCATCAATCAATCAATTATCAATCATTCATCGTCATTCATTCAATAATTTCTCATTCATTCAATCATTCATCATCATTGAATTCATCATTCAATCATTCATCATCATTGAATTCGTCATTCAATCATTCAATCATTTCATCATTCAATCATTCAATCATGCATCAATCATTCGTCATCATTTACCGTCATCAGTTTCGCTTTCACCGAATTCACGCATCACGGATTTGCCACCCATAGCTTCCCCCCATCGATTTCATTCACATCATCGCCACCATGACATTCACGCGCACCGCTGCTACTTCTGCGTAAAGCGCCTTGGATAAGGCGCTACGTGAATGATTTTAAGATCAAACGAGATGCGTCCACGTTTGTCCAGTCGTTCCCGTGTCCCCACGTGTGCGTCTCTGCGTGTCTCATGCAGTGTCCCCGTCCCCACGTGTGCGTCTCTGCGTGTCCCATGCAGTGTCCCCGTCTCCTCCTCGCTGTGCCTCTGCGTGTCCCCGTGTCCTCGTGTCCTCGTGTCCCCGTGCCCGCTTGACTGCGCTTCTGCGTGTCCACGTGTCCGCGTGTCTCCTCGTCCACACGCATGCGCCTCTGTGTGTCCGTGTCCCCACGGTGTGTGCGTCTCTGCGTGTCTCCATGTCCGCGCCACTGTGTGTCCCATGCAGTGTCCCCGTCTTCTCGTCGCTGTGCCTCTGCCTGTCCGCGTGTTCCTTTGCACACGTGTCCTCATGTCCACATGTCTACTTGGACGCGCCTCCGTGCGTCCACGTGGGTGCGTCTCTGCGTGTCCCCGTGTGTCCCCGTATGTCCCCGTGTGTCCCCGTGTACCCACGTGTCTCCGTGTCCACTCGTGCCCCCCCTCCCCCGCGTGTGCCCACCCCCCCCCCGTGTGCCCCACGTGTGCTCCACACGTGCCCCTGCGTGTCGCTGGGGGTGTCCGTACCGCGCCGCCGGTGCAGTCCGACGAGAGCGCCGCGCGAGCCGCGATGCGACTCGCGGACCAGCGCCCAGCGTCCGTCCACGTGGAGGTCGAGGTCGGGGAAGGAACGAGGCCGTGGGCGCTCGACATCTCGACAGATTCTCACTCTCGCTTAGCTCGCTGCCAAATTCGTGACGATTCTCAGACCGCAACTTCAACGCCGACGAAGACGACGACGAGTCTCTGCGACCTGCGATCGTTTCTGTCCTCAACGAAATCCAAACTCTTCTGCACCTATCTCTTGCCACGCTGCTCTTTTATAATCTTGCCAAAACGGGGTGCGCGCGGCTTGCGTAATCCTCGTCAGGGAGAGTGACTTTAGGGACAGCGATTTTGGGGGGGGGTGGGGGGGTGTGGTTGGGTGTGGGTGCGTGTGTGGGGAGCGGTAGTGGAGCGGTTAGCGCGCTGCGCTTTGAACAGGGCGACCCAGGTTCAATTCCCGCTCACGGCCAACAACAGCGACGATTATCTGAACCGGTCCTGGGCCTCCCCTCGGTCGACTCAGCTTGAAATGAGTACCCGTTGCGATGTGTAGTAAACATCGCCACTGGGGAGACAAAGGCGGTCGGGCGTGGTGCTGCCCACCCCCCCCCATCGTGTACCGTTCCGGCCTTCATCGGTGCTCGCTAACAGCACTTGCCCCTCCAGTCTGTTAAGGCTACACGGGGGATCTTTGTCTTTTGTGTGGGTGTGTGGGTGTCGGCGGCTGGCATTACGTGTCAGCGTGCAAAGGGTGTGTGAGCCGTTCCGCTGTTGCCAAACTGTTGACAAATAACGACGATGTTGGCTCCCGAAAATGGTTTGCGGGATGGATGCATATTTTTTTTTTAACGAGAATTAAAAAATGAAAATTAATTAAGGATTATGATCTGGGCTGTGGCACGTTAGTTCATCTTTGGCCCAGAGTTTCGTGCAATTTGTTGCAACGCTTTTCCTCGTTATTTGCTGCTCGGGACACCTGCCGGAGGTGCTCGCGAATAAGCGCATTTTGGGGGTAATGGATATTCTTCTTTGGTTCTTTCGGTAAGGTCACGTAGAATGAGAATAAAATAATAATAAAATAACGCAATAAAATTCTCACGACGTTTCGGCCACAACGCAAGCGGCCGTCTTCAGGTGAAAGGTACAGACCTGTCGGGACGACAGAGCTAACACAGAGACCCATTGAGGCTCTGTCGTCCTGACAGGTCTGTACCTTTCACCTGAAGACGGCCGCTTGCGTTGTGGCCGAAACGTCGTGAGAATTTTATTGTGTTATTTTATTATTTTATTCTCATTCTACGTGACCTTATCGAAAGAACCAAAGAAGATTAATCCTTGCAGTGACGAAAGCTTTAAATCGAAATGTAATGGATATTCGCTGTACGAATATCGCATTGCGCAACGTCTGCCAGATGCTTCTAAAGCTTCGATGCACTCACTCATCTTTCTCATCTCTTTGTCATCACTTTATCTCTCATCACTTTATCTCTCATCATATCTCTCATCACTTTATCTCTCATCACTTTATCTCTCATCACTTTATCTCTCACCGCTTTATCTCTCGTCACTTTATCTCTCATCACTTTATCTCTCATCACTTTATTTCTCAACACTTTATCTCTCATCACTTTATCTCTCATCACTTTATTTCTCAACACTTTATCTCTCATCACTTTATCTCTCATCACTTTATCTCTCATCACTTTATCTCTCATCACTTTATCTCTCATCACTTTATTTCTCATCACTTTAACTGTCATCACTTTATCTCTCATCACTTTATCTCTCATCACTTTATCTCTCATCACTTTATCCATTCACTTTATCTCTCGTCACTTTATCTCTCATCACTTTATCTCTCATCACTTTATCTCTCATCACTTTATCTCTCATCACTTTATCTCTCATCACTTTATCTCTCGTCACTTTCTCTCTCACCACTTTATCTCTCATCACTTTTTCTCTCACCATTTTATCTCATCACTTCGCTCTCTCTGTCGCTCTCTGTCTCTCTCTCGATGCAGTCGCGTAGTTGAGTTCCAGATGCGATTCACGGAGAGCCAAACCCGCGGATAGCAAGTTCACGAATAGTGAGGGAACGACGTATTCCTTGTCAGCTGTTTGTCGGAGAGAGTTAAAAATCGTAGCCGATGTACAGGTCCCCCAGAGCGTGCCGATGATCAACCACAGGAATATGCAGCAAACGAAATTCTGTTACAAGATCAACTCAATTTACGGAATGTCTTTAATTCATCCATAACATATCCGTTGTTTTTTTTCTAATAAATATTTGTTTTTTCGAATGCATATTTTGTAAATGCGTACATGTATATGTACGCATCTTTGTTTCATGTGTAGTGTTCGGTTTCATTCGGACAACGGTTGTCTTTCTCCGAACACCGCTTTATTTACAACTCTCAGCATGTCCTCCACATTCCACAGTATCCTGGTCGCCACGGCTCGCTAGCCGTGATTCACTCGACTCGCTCGCCACCTTTGTCTCTCCACTCCCCCACGATCACTTCGCTTACTCCGCCGCTAACTTCTTCGTCTCCGCTCCCCGCTATCACCGTCACTATGCTCACTCCACTGCTAACTGCTTCATCTCTGTTCTCCGCTATCACCGTCACTATGCTCTCTCCACCTTCAACTTCCTCACTCAGCGACTCCGCACTAGAGCGACTCCGCACTCAGCAACTCCGCACACAGCGTCTTTGCACACAGCAACTCCGCACACAGCGTCTTCGCACACAGCAACTCCGCTCACAGCGTCTTCGCACACAGCAACTCCGCACACAGCATCTTCGCACACAGCGTCATCACACACAGCGTCTTTGCACTCAGCAACTCCACCCTTCAACTCTTCACTCCAACTCTCCCAAGCTCTCCAACTTCAACCCATCTCCAAGCTCAACTCCCTTCAACTCAACTTCTTCAACTCAACTCCAAGCTCTCCACCATTCAACCCCCGCTGTTGACTCCGACTCGCGTTCTTATACCCGCTCTCATTACACCCCCCAATTAATTAACCCGCGTGCCAACGGCGCTCCGCGTGACCGTCCGCACCTGTTTCTCGCCAGACTTCCAGACGCCTCTCCAGCCCCGGCAACAGCACCAACCGATCACAGCCGTCCACGGCTACCCCAGCTTAATTGCCCCAACATAACCTGCACTGTATTTGCCTTCGCTACAGGCTGACCAAAGATAACCCGTACTGTCTGTGTGATCATGTAATCGCGCTGTTTCCACAACGCACCTTCGTACTCCACTACACATGTATTAGATGAGGAAGTATACGGAGGACCGTGGATGGAGACGTCGGGATGATGGCTCAGGACAGGAGGAGGGAAGTGGAGGGAGACACGGGGGAGGAGGTAGGATAAACCATTAAAACATATTTTACCAAGTTCCCACTGAGCTATGTTTCTCTTTTTTCAGAAGCGACCTGGCCATCACAAAGTGGCTTATCGTGTGCAAAATGTATAGCACGTTGAGTCTGAATGTGGAGGGAGAAACCGGACGACCCGTAGAACATCAACGTGACCACGGGGGGAGAGAGAGAGAGGGAGAATTTTGACTTTTAAACAACCTTTATTACCTCGGCCGCAAAAAAAATGCACCGGGGCGATTTCAGTGTTGGGTTGTGTGTGAAGCACCAAAGACAAAATCAGGACTGCGCGCAGTCAAATGGCACAACTGATCACCGTCCGCACAGGTAAGCATACAAAACCCGCTTCACAACGAAATAAGTGGAAAAAAAACGGATCTAGAAACGCAACACATGCGCTGCGCCGGGGGGGGGGGGGGGGGGGGGGGGGGGGCGGGGAGCGGGGGGGGGCGAGGTCCCCTGCTAGCACAGGTGAGTGCACACATGCGAGAGAAAAAAAAACGCTTCGAGGTCCACGCTCGACATCGCGCGCGTGACCGACTTACAAATGGAGCGGGGAAAAAAAACCACCCCGGTCCACGCGCGTCTTCGCGCGCTCAGGTGGCAGCGTCACCGCTGTACCTACAAACGGTGGAGTTCCGGGTCCACGCGTGTCACAATGCTGCGGAAAAGGCACGCACAGCGCGCCTCTTGGCGCGGCCACCGCCAGCTCAGGTGGTCTCACCCTGCGCAGGCGGCTCAGAGTCTAACCGCCAGCGCAGGTGATTGCTTGTGCAAAGGAAACCGTTTCGAGTCCACGCGCGCCATCGCGCACCTTTCCATTTTTAATCCCCGAAGCCATGGCGCTAGGTGTTGATGTTTGGCGGTGGCCACCGGGGGGTCCCTTTGGCTAGGAGGAGTACTTCCTCTTTACCTTTTGTGCTGGAGCCTCCAGCCTGCTGGCCTCCTTCCGGCTGAAGGCGTACCTGTGCGGCTCTTTACAAATCCGTTGCGCGGTCTGCATGAAGCCACGCGCGTCGGGGAAATAGGACTTTCCGACGCTATCCCCACGGCTACTGAAAGGTGCTTTTTCGGTAGTCAAGGATGAGCTGCGGGTTGTGCTCTTTCACCCCCCCGGACTTGCGGGAGGTTCGTTTCACTTGTGTTGTCAACAACGTCGGACTCTAACTGCCGACGTCGTTGTCGTTGTTATTGTTGGGGGGGGGGGGGGGGGGGAGAGAGAGAGAGACACGCAAACTTCACATATCAATAGCCGTCAGGCTCGAAATCGAACCCACGATCTCCTGTATACCAGGCGAGGGAGTAAACATCTCCTAGCCACCGTTGTGGAAGGGACGTGGAGATGATGCCCCAGGGCAGCAGGAGGACGTGGTGGTCGGTGGAGAGATGGGATGGGATGCAAAGATACCCCAGCTAAGTTGGGATAATGTCAGGAAGACGACGTTGAGGAGGTTAAGATGGAGCGGGGAGGACGGAGGGGGTAGAGGGAGGCAGAGGAAAGAGGAGTATGAGGCAGGATGTGTGGAGGGAGAGGGGATGCTGGAGGAAGGAGGTGGAGGAGGTGGAGGAGGTGAGTGGGACATCGACCAGATGTGCCAGACGGCGCTTTCTGCTCGATGCCCGAGCGCGAAGCATTTCCGTGCGCCGCGCGCTCTTGCACGTAGCAGGAGAATGAAGCAAATTAATTAAATAGATTGCGAAACTATTTATTGTCGTCATAATAATAGCTGTGGTGAGATGGTAAGGCACAAAGCGCGAATCGCCCTGCCTTAAAATGCACCCAACCCCAGGTTGTTTCTTCTTCTTCTTGTATAAATTTACAATTCCATTCATCGGCCCGATTGGCACGGTCAGCCAGAGATCGGTTCTCGGCCAAAATTATCCATAC